TAAAATCTGGTTTCATAGTAAAACTGAATTACTGTGTCATAAAATGATACATGTTTAAAATGGTGTGTCACCAACATGTAACAGTTGGAAAGCTTTGCTCTAGATTAGTGTTTCTCAAATTCTGCTGGTAAAGTGGCTGGGATTTCTGGAAGCTAAAGTCCAAAACACCTGAAGGAACAAAGTGTGAGAAACACTGCTCTAGATCATCCAGTGCTATTCCATGGCATGCTGCCAGTTAATCATAAAATTGTCAAGATATAGGTATCCATTGGGAGGGATCTTGTAACATTATACCCTTTGAATAGGGGTGGGGTCATACTGTATATTTTCTATCAAATAAGACCACTATACTAGTTTTCTTGCTAGAAATTCAGATTTAGATAATTTCAAGCAAATGTGCATCAGATTGAACTCTATGCATTGATCTGTACATTTATTTTAGCAGTATACAGCCACTCAGTTTAAATAACAAGTACCAAGAATTTGTTAACATCCCATTTTTAAATCTCTTATTATTCCTCTCCAAATAATTTTGTGTGTGTGTCAGAAGCAACTTGAGAAACTGCGGATAGCTTCTGGTGTGACTTGCATCTATTGATGATTTCAATTGTTACTGGGCAGTTACAGGAAGACACCATGAAGAAATTATTCTGAGTCTGTCATGGTAAAATAAAGAAAGGGCCTTCAAGCTGCTAATTGTCAATAACATCCTGGACTTTGCCATGTAGAAAAAATGTGAACGTTTTTCACTGGTATGTTCTCAAGTATTTAGTGATCATGTAAAGTGTATGCTTATTTTTATAAGCAAAGACCTTTCACCTATGTCATCTACATTCTGAGAAAGATGTTTTACATTGTGTTCCAACTATGATACAGATGATGTGGTAAGACTGAGTTTTCTTAGTGGTCACACCTAAAATTTGCCCCAGATGACTGAGCTGGCACCCAACCTTCCAATCTTTCAATGCACAATAAATCTTTCAGTGCACAGTGAGTAGCTTTCTGTTCATTCAGTCAGAGATGAGTCGCATAAATTTAATGCTTAGTATATTCTCTGTCAGTTCATCATACACTGTTGTAATGTTATTTGATATATCTTATATTCTATTAGTTTTTGTAATTACTGTAGAGGTAGTCATCTGGATTAATGAGAAAGCATTAGGAAAACTTTACTTTGTATAAATAAAAATACTGCATAATATTGTTTTTAATATGTTGCCAGCCTGCCTTTTTTGGGCGGAAAGGAAAAATACAGATTATGACGATCAAGAAAAATCTAAATTAATACACTCCAACTGCACATTTTAAAATATATTTCAACTGAATAGATACAATATAAAAAGGAAGGGAAAATGTGGAAGAAGAGGGAACCTCAGGTTTATCTTCCAGATGTGGAGTGGATGATTGTCACCCAACTTTTCTGTTCACTTTGAGGCTCCGGTGTTCTGCCCAAAGAAAGCTGTGGAGGGAGGCTGGGATGAGACCTCCTGCCTCAGGTTGCTCCCCTCCTTTAGCAATTTAATAGTGCCCCAATTTTATAAACCAATTTTGATATCCAGTCTTTTTATTTCCCATGTTGGCAATCAACAAATCAGTTGTGTTTCCAAAACATTTCAGCAATTAATATACAAGAATTGTAGGCTACAGATGCCCCTTACTGAGCTAATTCCAATCAGTTACCCTTTGGCATGATATAGACATGGGCATGAGCCTAGGCAAGGTTACAAAATGTATCTTGAGCTGACTGGCTCCTGTATTTTTTATTTGTGAAAAGAATTTTTAAAAGTGATATGCTGATGACAGACATATTACACAGACATGCATTGTCAAATGCATTCACCATGCAATTTTGAACTGATTTCCAGGAACACAGAGTGATGGAAAATGAAATATTTCCAAGCATATATGACTTATGCAGGAGATTTTTAAACAAGCCTCCAGATGGAAAACTTTCTATTAAACATTTAATGTGACCCATTTCAGAATTGAGAGATGCCTGACTCATGTGGCCACCAAACATCTCCCTGTAACATTTTGTCACACATTAATGGATAGCATATCACTTTTGATCTATCACCTTAACCAAGGGAACTATTTCTGAAGCTTGCTTTAACATGGTCTGAAGAGAGTTATTTATTACCTCCTATCATACTATAATTTAGGGCAAGGAAATTGATAGTTTTGAAGCATACATGTTACAAATGTTCCTCTTTATGGAATCTTTAGTAAAGGTAAAAGATCTATAACATCTGATGAGAATGTCCATAAAGTTGTTTTTTAAAAAAAACTACACCTATGCAATTTCAAAGTGGATTAATAAATGATAGCTAGTTATAACGGGCATCAAATATGTGATTTGTGAGTATGTACACGAATATATATATATATATATATATATATATATATATATATATATATAGTATAATGTAATGTAATGTAATTGGTTATTAAAACAAAGTAAACAAGACTCAGAGACACTTATTTCAGTGCCTCAGGTCAAAATTCAAAAGTTGCAGCAATTTCCATCTTGAAAAACAAACTAAGGCAATAATCCGGATTATCCTGACAAAAAAAACTGGATTAAACAGTACTTCCAAAACATCCCAAAATCACACAGTAAATGGAAAACAAACAAGCAAAGAGCCATGAAGAAGAGCCGTCATCCAAATGAAGTCCAAAGTCAAAGAAATCTAAGTCCAAAGTTGCAAGGTTCCGAAGTCCACAAGGCAGTGTCGTAGTCAAAAGCAGTCCGAAGTCAAGGAGAGAGGAAATCTGCACTTACGAGAATCCAAGCCAGTCGGTAACATGAGACAAATCAGCAACCTGCAGATCCAGGACCCAAGCCCAACAGGAAAGTGGCAGCAACAAGACCCAAGGCCTACTGCAAAGTTCTACCATTTTAGTGCCTACTTTTATCTTACAACTCATCATCTGATGATGAGCTGCCCTCCACCCCATCCTCATCACTATCAGCTGGTTTAACCTCCACAGCTGAGCACCAACGCCCATCCCTCCAACTCTTCCACCTCTTGTCAAGACTTAGGTCTCCCCAGGATTACACAGTATCACCCGATTGCCAATCCCCACCACCAGAAAATCCCACAAATGTGTCACTAGACGTTGGTTGAGTACACACATTCTGAACCTCTTGTAACTTGGTCCAATCCAGTGATTCCTCCTCATCCCCATCACTCCCAGACCCATCATTCCCAGAAAAACCCATGAAATCCTCTTCTTCCGGATCCTCTTCCTCTGCTTTCCTTTGGGTTCACCATATGTCCAAAACAACTTTGTAATTCAAAATTGCAGACAAGAAGACGCAAAAAAGTTGTTGTTGTTGTTGTCATTTGAAGAGTTGCAAGAAGTTTCCCCAAATTTCAACCATTTGCCATTTATGTCCATTCCCCTGTAAAGAAATAAACAAAAATGTGGGTAGAACAATGACTCTACTCAAATTTCACTTTCAAATATGTTTGTGTGTATGTGAGTGTCATGGGCAATATTAATGTATTAGGACAAAAATCAAAATATCACATGTCATGTTTCATCAAGATGCAACAAAACATAAGTGGCATGCTCTAGTTGTAAATATGTTGTTTCCATGTAGAGGAATTTGAAATGTCTTTCACGAAAAAGAGTGAAAATGCCATTGAAGTCAGGGAGCAGAAAAACTGTGCATGATATTGTAATATCCCTTACAAATTACATATCTTAAGAAGCAAGAAAGCAAAATAAATGTCAAACCCCCATTATTTATTTGTTTGTTTATTCATTTAAAGTATTCTTGCATTGTCTCTCAGCCCCTGAGGGCTCCTGAGATGAGGAACAAATAAAAACCCATCACAACAATACCAACATTTCAAAAACACAATTAAATTTTCTTTCAAAACCTGTAAAAGCAGTCTAAAAATAATTTTGAAGCATAGCCATTATTTCTTAATTTATTTGTATTTATATGGAAAGGTCTTGCATATTAATACCAGCTTCAATTTTTGATCAGTAACCTTAAAGTAGATTTCTTATTATCAATGTGTTCAGCCTGAGTTCAAGCCAACTCTATCATTAGGCAAGAGAAGCCATCAAATTTGGGCAGTAGACATTTGGGAGGATAAGTTATGGAAAGATGACAAAGCTATGTATGCCACATTTCTTGCTCTGTGCCTTCTGCTTGCTAGTTTCAAGGACAATGGTGGAGGTGAGATTCAACCACCAACTGTAGTTAAATTCTGTACATAAACCTAGAAATGTGTACATCTTCTTTATCTCAGAAAGCAAAACATTTAGTTAGCCTTACAAGTCATTGCTTTCGTTTTTGTCAGCCACCCAGAGCTTTTGGGGTTAACTGGTGCAAATATTGCGAATGAACAAAATAAAATTCCATTTGTTGTGGGGAGACCTTAAAAGGCATCCCAGGGGATAGATGAATCCAGTTATATAGTAAACAAGGATCTATCTCTTCCATAGAAAGAACTGCTACAGTTACAAAAAAAAACCAACAAAAATCTGGATACATGAAATCTTGTCCCCTGTAGTTATATCTCACTTTAACCCCGGCATATAAATCCAGCCTCACTTAAAGAAAAAAAAAAGATACAGCACATCAAATATCAAGTCTACTGGGTGAAAACTTGCCATATCAATCAGTCACCCTCCATAGTGACATTGTTGATAAATTCAAACTTCTAGAAAATGTCGGGGAACAGCAATGATACAGAAAGTGAATTGCATCAAGATGTCTTGAGTTACTGCACAGTGCTGAATTTCATCCTGCCTGTGCCTTGTACATAACCTTTTCTTCCCATAACTTAAAAAAGATGGGATGCTTAATACCAGGACATGAAAAGGCCATAAAGATTTAATCAAAGAAAGCTTTGAACTTTTGTGGAAGCCAATTGTCAAGATAAAATGGGAAATAATAAGCAAATATTCAAGTAATGTCTATGAAACACAGAATGCATTGAGAATTTGAATTTGATCATGTGGGAAAAATACTTACAAGTTTAAAGCCAACCAAATGGGCCTGAACTGGAGTCCAAAACTTTGACTGAAACACAAAAAAAATCAACAGATCTATAAGAAATACATAGAAAACAACAAAGAAAATCTTTAAAAGTCTATAATCAACAGGTGCCATATGATTATGTCATGGCTACCTTATCTGTCACTCCACATCAAAGATCACATAAACATTAATTTTACAAACCAGCTATTCAATGTAAATCTGATACAATCTATTCCTGCTAAACATACCCTGTTGCTTATGGTTAACATTGAGCTTGTTGTCCCTTGGCATGCAAGCTAATTTTCTGCCATTCCATTTTTTAAAAGAAGATTTTTAAAAATTCTATTAACCCCCCCCCCCAACAAAAAAATTACGGTGTGTCTTATGTACTGCTAAACAACACACTGGATTATTTCCCTGTAAAATGACCATTCTGTTGTATTTTCTGGCTGCAAATATGTTATTTGGCATTTGGAGGTCAGGCATCCAGTGCTGACCTCCAAATCCAGAGCCATCCAATCAAACCTTAGAGCTCCACTGACTGCCATTTATTTTCCGGTCCCAATCCAAGGTGCAGGTTATCACCTATAAAGCCCTAAACGGTTTGGGACCTGCCTACCTTTGTGAACCAACTTGGGCCCTCGGTTTTTCTGGGGAGGCCCTTCTTTCGCCCCTGCCAATTTCACAAGTCATCTGGTAAGTACGAGGGAGAGAGCTTTTTCCTCTGTGGCCCTCCGACTCTGGAACTCACTACCTGGAGAAATTAGGAAAACCCCTACCCTAGAAACCTTTAAAAAGAACCTTAAAACCTGGCTCTTCCGCTGTGCCTTTGATACTCAGGTATACAATCTCATACTATTGCTTAACCTCAAAATTTTTTGTCATTGGAGTATATGCCCCCCCCCCCCCGGAGGGAAAGCCTGATTCCACAACCCCCACTATAATGAGTCCTCCTCCGCAAATAATCTGTCTCTCTTTTATCTCACCCAAGTTTTTAATTTGTCTTAATCAGTTTTTCTTTTAATCATTACATGTAGCCTGTCCATTGTCATTGTGATTGAGCCTATTGTAATTTTATATTGCTGTGTATTCACATGTTTTATGTAATTATGTTATTGTTGTTTATTGTTTGCATTTTCAGTTTGTGTTTTTGGTTTTATTTTATTGTAAATTGTTGTTTGGGCTTGGCCTCATGTAAGCCATTCCAAGTCCCCATTGGGGAGATGTTGGCGGGGTATAAATAAAGATTGTTATTATTATTATTATTATTATTTGAACAACTACTAGCCAATTTCTAATCTCCCCTTTTTGAACAAGGTTCTAGAGCAAGTGATGGCTTCTCAGCTCCTGGGATTCTTGGATGAAACCAATTCTCTTGATCCACCACAGTCTGGTTTCAGGCCTGGTCACAGTATAGAGATGGCTTTGGTTGTCTTGGTGGGTGACCACAGAGAGCTAGACAGGGGAAATGTGTCCTTGTTGGTTCTCATTCTCTTGGACATCTCAGTGGTTTTTGATACCATTGACCATCGTATCCTTCTGGGACAGCTCTCCTGAATGGGTCTTAGGGGCACCGCTTTGCAGTGGTTTCACTCCTTCCTGGAGGATTATACCCAGATGGTGAAGCTGGGGGACACCTGCTTGGACCTCTGGCCATTAACCTGTGTGGTTCTGCAAGGTTCCATTCTATCTCGCATGTTTTTAACAGCTATCTGAAACCACTGGATGAGGTCATCCGGAGTTTTGGAATTCAGCACCATTTCTATGCAGGTGACACTCAACTCTATTCCTCTTTTCTACTGAATTCCAAGGAAGCTCCCTGGATCCTTGACCAGTCCCTGGACACTGTGATGGACTGCATGAGGGCTAAGAAATGGAAGCTTAACAAGACAGAGGTCCTCCTGGACAGTTGCAAGGTTGATTGGGGTATAGGGTGGCTACCTGTGCTCGATGGGGTTACACTCACCCTGAGGACACAGATTTGCAGAATGGGGTTATCCTGGACTCGGTGCTGACACAATGTCTGGGCCTTTGTACAGTTAAAACCTTTGCACCACCTGTGACCGTATATCGAGAAGCCTGACTTGACCATGGTGATCTATCTAGATTGGATTACTCTACATGGGGCTGCTTTTGAAGATGGCCCAGAAACTGCAACTGGTGCAAAGGTCGGCAGCCAGGTTGCTAACTGGATCTAGTTATAGGGAGCAGACTATGTCTCTTCTAAAGCAGCTCCACTGGCTGCCGATAAGTTTCTGGTTCCAATTGAAAGTGCAAGTTATCACCTACAAATCCCTAAATGGTTTGGGCCCTGTCTATCTTCATGACTGTATCTTCCCCTATGAACTGGCACGGTCTCTAAGATCTGCTGGGGAGGCCTTCCCCTCACTTCCACCATCGTCACAAGCATGGTTGGTAGGGACGAGAGAGACAGCCTTCTTAGTGGTGCCCTCCCCCTGGCTCTGACACTCCCTCACTAGGGAGATTAGATTAGGACCCACTCTGTCTGACTTCTGTAGTAACTTGAAAACCTGGATGTACCAGCATGCTGAATGATGGCTTAGCCCCTCATCATGGCTGCCCTAATTTACTGATAAGATTTATCCAGCACTTTACCCCCAACCCCAACCCTATAGTCTGCATTTTGCACAAGTCCTTGCCCTGCCCTAACTAATCGGATTTTGAGTTGTCGTAGGTTTTTTCGGGCCATATTCGAGAAGCATTCCCTCCTGACGTTTCGCCTACATCTGTGGCAAGCATCCTCAGAGGTAGTGAGGTCTGTTGGAACTAGGAAAATTGGGTTTATATATCTGTGGAATGACCATGGTGGGACAAAGAACTCTTGTCTGTTGAGAAACACAACATACAAACTATCTATAGACCCACCAAGAAAATCCAACAAATGCTAGGTTCAGCAAAAGACAAGAGGGGTCGTCTCACTTCTGCAGGAGTCTACCGTATTCCATGCAGCTGTGGACAAGTCTACTTAGGAACCACCAAACGCAGCGCCCAAACACGAATCAAGGATCATGAAAGGCACTGCAGACTACTTCAGCCAGAGAAGTCAGCCATAGCAGAGCACCTGATGAACCAACCTGGCCACAGCATATTATTTGAGAACACAGAAATGCTGGACCACTCTAACAACCACCATGTCAGACTACACAGAGAAGCCATTGAAATCCATAAGCATGTGGACAATTTCAACAGAAAGGAGGAAACCATGAAAATGAACAAAATCTGGCCACCAGTATTAAAAAAACAAACTCTAAAATTATAACAGCAAAACAACAGAGAGGAAACAATCAGGGACAGCTAATCACTTCTCAACAAAAGTTTCCCCCAGGCACTAACAAGCCACACCAAAAACTGCCAGGCCATCAAATCCTAATCAAGGTGGTCAGTTGAAACATTCACACCTAGCTCCAACAGACAAGAGTCCTTTGTCCTACCTGGTCATTCCACAGATATATAAACCCAATTTTCCTAGTTCCAACAGACCTCACTACCTCTGAGAATGCTTGCCACAAATGCAGGCGAAACGTCAGGAGAGAATCCCTCTAGAACATGGCCATATAGCCCGAAAAACCCTACAACAACCCAGTGATTCTGGCCACGGAAGCCTTTGACAATACATTAGTCTGATTTTGTCCACAGTACTCTGGTTACTGATTGTTGCGGTTGGTTTTGATACATTTTATGATGTTTTTATACTTCACTGGTTTTTAAAATTTAGATTGTTTATATATTATTATGTTTTTAAATTGAGTTTTAGCTTTTAAGTTTTGTTTATGCTGAGCTTAGCCCCCTTGTAAGTCACCCCAAATCCCTTTGGGGTGGCTTACAATATGCTTATTATTGCTATTTTTGCAAGGGTGCTGAGACACTTTGACATCAACATAGCAGACCCAGAGAGCAGGAGAGGGGCAGCTGAAGGAAGAAAAAGGAGGCTACACCTTCTTCTTGAAGGGGCTGCCAAGAACTGGGAAGCCCTGGCCCTTCAGCATTCTATCTGGAGGTCAGCTGTTACCAACAGTGCTGTGGAATTTAAAGAGGCACAAATGCAGGGTGAAAGGGAGAAACATGTCAAGAGGAAGGAACATCAAGCCAACCCTGACCGGGACTACTACCTGGAAATTGATGCCCTCACTTCGTAAGAACATGCAGATCAAGAATAGGTCACAACAGTCACCTACAGACCCAGCGCCAAGACCCTACACTTTAAATGCAATAATACAGGAATGGTTGCTGCTGCTGCTGAGTTTGTCATTTTAACCAATCTGTCTTCACTGTGAAATTTGTGCAATGGGCACTACAGTAAAAATCCTGTTAAAGTGCCTTCTATCTTACACTTTTGTTGTTGAACAGGTTTTGGCTTTTCCAGTATGACTTTTGAAGTTGTTCCTTTTGTGTTCTGGTCATATCCGCTCAACCAGGCATTTTATGATTAAAACAATCATCACTCATGACACCCATTGGCTTGAAAACACCCACTAATTCCTTAATCGTTCCCTAATTTTACCTTGAACTGGAGACATACCCACCGAAAATCAGAGATTTTAAATATAAGCTGCATTGCATGCCTTCCCACTACATTTGAACTGTAGTTTAATGAGTGAAAAAGACAGATTTATCTGAAGCAGGTCTTAATTGTTGAGACTACCTCCATCTTCGCTGACCTTCTGGTGGGTGATTGAAATGCCTTTATTCTAACTGGTCTTCTGATTTTAAAAGAATTTTAAAAAATATTTTAAATTTGTTTGATTAATATATGCACCTCATTGTGTATTGGTGCCCATAGTATAGAGTAATAAAATAGAGTAATCAATGGGGCTGTGCAAAATTTCATTTTGAATTCATGTTTATTTATAATTTGTTATATTTGTACATACAAAGCAATATTAAGAAGCACTAGGGGTAGCCATGCAAAAAAAAAAAACCTTAAGATTTAAAACACTGACCTATGACTTTTGGATGAGTTATGTAAGTCTCATAAATGGATCCAGGTCTCTGTCATGGGCACCGCTTCTCCCCCAAAAGGT